GGGGGGGGGGGGGAGGGGGGAGCATGTGTGTGTGTGTGTCCATAATTAATTGCTCTCTCTTACCTTGTAAAGTGTATCTTTTCCTTCGGCCTCCCACGCTTCCAGTTCCGATTCTATCCGAGTTACCACAACGTGGCATGTTCATCATTCTCTTTGTGTCATCATCAATGATGCCTGAAGTCAATGAAACAAAATATGAAAACAACTGAAATAACCTGACACAAGGCATTTATAAATACAAAAAATCAACTTTTCCACCCATACATCACCCATATACGACACCACTGGCACTACAGTAACATGAAAAAAGTTCAATGTAACACTGCAATAAGGAAAGTATTCTGAGGGTCCTTCTAGTTTTCAGATTAAATATTCAGAATATTTAATGCAATGATGAAGTGAAAGTCCACTAGAAAACTTTTATTTTATTACATAAAATACATCCATTGGGGACGCAATAAGGGTAAATGCTTAAAAAAAAGTTGTCAGATTGTAGTGAATTTACCTGTCATGGGCACGCCTGCAAATTGCTGGTATTCCATGATGGCGTTTTTCACCGATTCCTCTGATCTGAGAGCGCCGGTCCTGGGATCTTGAGGGGTAACCCACCCATAGGCAAGGAGATATTGCTGAAATATACAGGCATCGAAATACATCAAAATAATCATCAAAATGTGGACACATTCACTAAATAGTTAGAGTTACCTAAAAAGTTTCATCAGTCTGATTTTACTACGTGTAGATGGACTTTTCAGCTCCTCAAAATGCCGTACGTAAACCCAGTGCTAGAATAGCTTTTCCAAGCAGAGGCAAGTATATCTTAATTCCTTTTTAATCTTTTGATTCCTACAGCTCCGAATGCTCACTAAGGATATATTCCTTATCCTTAAACAAATTCCTTTTCCGTTGTGATTAAGAAATTCATGTTTTAATTATGTAAGCTGGGAGTTGTTGAAAATAATTTAGCGGCGATCTAGCTGTATCTATTCGACCTTTAACATAAGTTTTCATAACTAATGACAGTGACAGAAAAATTGGCTATATTAAATCCAAGGCCAATCTCCATCGGTAAGCTGATAAGCCAAACGTAACAAATATTTCCATCCCGTTCCCGCGCTGTTTTGCTGAGCCCTGGACATTGTTCAAACAAGCTCACTTACCATGGAAGTTGCATCGCTATCCACTGTCATTTCTCCCTTAACGTTCACCTGGTCTGCCGCAAACAGCAGAATTAGACAGAAGAGTACTGCCGACTGCCCTGTCTCCATTGTCACTTAAAATTCTCAAAAAGTTTCAGATTTATGGTAAGTTTCGTGTAAGTATACTGTATGTCGATCTTCCGTTTCCTTGCACTTTACGCTCTATCTTGATCTACTTAAGAAGCCCCTGCGCGTTCCTTTTATATGCCCTGCTCGTGAGTCATTGAAATAATAAGCACGCGACACTCAGCTACTCGGTCTATTGCTCTAGCAGGGGTTTCCCTATTCTTTTGACCGATATGACCATATATGGGTGAAGCCTCTCGTGACGTCACTCAGTACCCCTTCTCTAACAGGGTGTCAATAAAATTTTTAACATGTTTAGAGTTGTTTCTTTTTATAAATTCTATTCGCTTTCTTAGTTTTCTCTTCTTTCGCACTAAAACCAGTCGTTAACTTTGTAAATTAGATGTCCTTCAATACTGTATTAAAAATAAAGCAAGTTTATTGTTATATTTTTGGTGCATTTTATTTCGTTAAACCCTGTACACACACCTGAAAGGTCTATTCAGGTGTCTTAGCGTAGCGAAGACAAGACCACCCCTGTTACTCACTTTTTGTCTTAGATTTGTTTTGGATTTTATTCATTTTTAAATCTTTATATTATATAAGTTATAGTTTTTTTCTCTTCCTGGTTGTTTACTTCCTCTAAGCGGCAATTTTACTGATAAACTGCGACAGAGTAATATTCTTGAAAAAATCGCATTATTTTATGCGTAACGTTCTTAAAAAAAAAAAAAGAAAAAAAAAAGAAAAAAAAACGGAAGAAAAAGTGGGAACAAAAAGATAAATGTAGTTTATTGACAGAGTGATATTATGTCATTATCTTACGCTTTCTCAATAATACTTTACAAGCGACACGGTTTTGCCGTGGGAACATTTTAAATAGTCTTTTCTGTTTTAAAAAGACTTGTTTCCTTTGGGATGGTTGGTTAATCGTAGGAAATATTAGTTACACGAACACTTGGCAATTCGAGTATTTTATTTAAAATAGATTTATTTCTGTGACAGTACCGTAAATATATATATAAATAAAATACATAATATGTATATTAATATGAGTACAAAAAATCACCAGTTTTACCATTAGATATATCATAGCCTCTTTCTGTATTACGTTTGTTGAGTTTTTTTTTTTTTTTTTTTTCGCGTCAAAGCTCTGTCTCTTTATCTGATGAGATTTCGCTGGCACTCCCCCGCCCATGAGCTTACACCATTTTCTCAGATACTGATAATCGAACTGTACGTCAATCGTGTAATGATTATCTCATCGGCGGTTTCCTCCTTCGACGTATCATTATCATCAAACCATCGGCTCAATTGTCTGTATGTTTCGATGTATACAAAGAGACTTAAAGCTTGAGTCAAAATCATCTTTATTAATTACTATCAACATTTCAGTATTTGTCGTGTTATTCACCTTCAATTTATGCCAATATTTTTCAAAAAAATCTTTTGAAGAAATATCAATAAAACTTCTTCATAAATTCAACCCTGGAATTCGTTATGTCACCTGTGGATTTCCGTCTTTCGGTTTCATTCACCTGTTGATTCACCTGTCTTTAAAAAAAGGGGGTCACCTTGACCTATCAATGGGGAAGGCTGCCGTGATTAAAGGCTATGACTATGCAGTTTAGTGTTAAGATTTATGGACAGACGTTACGGGGAATACCCCTACATACAACCTAACGGACCAACCGAATAGACCCTACTGATATTGTGTGGTCAACTTCCTTGTGGCAGGATTTTCTTCCGTCCTTCCTGCCAGGGTCTACCTGTCAGTTTACTCGTAACCTAATTTTATGAAAAAAAATTGAGTTGAACCTGACGATAAATGACCAAATTCATTCACAAGAGTGTAAACTTTGTGGCGGGCAGTGGGACCTCTCCGAGATGCTGCCTTTCGCACGAGCTGAGGGCAGAAATGTATTCTTGATGTCTTTAAATCATTTTCTGTTTCTTCTTTGTAATATTATAACGATTTTATTTATGCAGTTTACCTTTCCATGTTCTGTAGTATTTATACCTTTAATATTATGGTTTAGAGATACTTCCAGAATAAATCGTATAGAGAAATTATTTTATAGGGAAGAATTAAACACTGTATTTAACAGGACTCTGGACTCGTGTTGGTCAATTATATATTACCAAAGCGAACAACAACAAACCCGTGGTAAAAGTAAACAAACATTTCCCAAAATGCAGGGTTAGTGGTTTGTCACAGATTTACTTGATCTTCGGACAGACGGGAAGCGGTCAGTGCAGACAATAACCTGACATCAGCCATTACACTGGTCTGACTGGCCGGGATGTGGCTTTGATGTTGATAATATCCCCAGTTCAATTATGACTATGACAATGTTCTCATCATTAGAATTGTTTCGGTTATCGGCGCTTTTTGTTTTCATCCAAACGGGAAGTAATCTCTCTAATTCGACTCGAAGAAATTAATTACATTGCATTAATATTATTATCATTATTAAATGAAAAATAAAAAAGGGCCTGATCACTTACTCTTGCGATGAATAAAAAATCTAAGATTTGGCTTATGGAAAGTGAGGGAGCAACAGAAGTACATAAAATACATGTATTAACCCTCTACCCCCCTCCCTTCACCCTTGCCCCTCTCCAACTATCTATATACTTTTCTTTCTCAATCCCCCTCCCAATTACCTATTACCAATTAATTTAAAATAACGCCACCCCTCATCTATCAAAAAAGAAAAAAAAACTTAGTTTTCTCTCTCATCCATCCGGACGGGTCATTTAGCCGTGATTCAAAGATACGACCTGTCCATACTGAATAGAAATAAAATAGATATTTCCTATCAGCCCCCACCACTGGAAGTAAAAATGGAAGGAAAGTGTGTCACCGTGAAGGAGCCGAGGTCTACATAATGAGATCATGCGCTCGAGTCACCAAGCTTGGCACACTGTCATTCTGGTCACGCGTGTGGTTTTGGTTAATGTCGTTTAACGACAAGAAATCCGATCTTTCCTTTACATTATATTTTTTGCACGATGGAAGGATTGACCTGCTTACCAGCGCTGAAATGGCCTTCACAAAGGAAAACATTCAATCTACAAATGCTCACATGAATTTCATGTGTGTCTGCCCATTTTTTGACGGCGTTGGTCTTACGAAGAGTAAAATCAGCTGTCCGACAAAACATCGGCTAAAAAGAATCACTTATCATAAGGTATATGTAATTAAAGTACCTTTAACTTTCATTGATTATTCTATGCCTGTCTTTTTTAAAAGAAAATATCTAAAAGAAAAAAATAGACCTTATTTCGTTTTGTCTTATTATAACTTGATAAGCGTTTGAATAAATTCATTATATTTACACAAAAAAGTAAGAAATCGCAAGGGCGTGCATTGCAAATTTTGAAGGCAAAAGAAAGAGACAAATTTCGGTCAGGAAGGCCTGACTTTTCATGATTCGTTTCATAAATCCTAACATATAGATAATCTCCATACGAACTAATTAAATATTGGCATTTTCTGTTAATATAGGAAAAGGCATAGTTTCAACCCAAAGGTCGCTAAAAATGATGAACTTTATTATTTTGGATCGGCCAACCATATTCTGCAAAATTTTATTTATGATTGTAAGAACTACACCAGTGACTTCTGTAAATCTTAAAAGAAGGACCACAGGTCGTGTTAATCCAGGCGGATTTCTAATAAAGGACAACTGAGTGAATAAACATTAACTCGTATGCACACCTTTGAGACGACAAATATATGTGAAGACGGGAATAAATTGTGGTGTTTAGCATTCTTGGAAGGCATAGATATATTTGAGTACTTTCATTTCTCGCCTCCTCACATATCAGGTTTACATGGCCTGTTTATTGGGCTTTTTATTTTCAGTCATGCGCGAGTTGATTAATAATGTATCTTTACGTAATAATAAGAAACCGTTGGTTCATTCTGAATTTTTTTTAGAAGTCATGTTTCCGAGAAAACGCATTTTAAGAACAGCGTCATGCCATCCAAGGAAGAAAGGTCTACTTTCATTTTGGAATTTTAAGAATTCTTTAATTCTTTCTTTTGGGAAAAAAGTACCTCGGGGGATTTTTTTTCATGTGAACGTGTTATTTACTTTCTATTCGCGACCTACATATGACTTTTTTCTTTAGCCTCCCCTCAAGCCTTGATCTGCTGAGCTGAAAATACTGGTTGTATAAATACATGCAACATCATAACACGTAGCGTTCTTATGTAACCTTGTATTGAAGTTCTTAAAATTAAATGGTGACCTGTTTGCGTACTTAAGCCTCAAATATCCAGATACCGCAATGGACAATAGAATTGTCACCCCCTGAATCAGAGAAATCAAATAGTAATCAATTAATCAAGAATCAAATAGGCAGATCTTGAGAAGTTATAATGCCTGGTCTACACAATCCTTTTTTTTTGTGAAATTTGATGTTAATAAAATGATACCAGGAGCATATCATTCCACAGTCATTTATCTCCTACTACAGGTATTGTGCGTGCCTGTCTGGTAATTTCCATGTATAATATTTCGTATATCATATCAATTGTATGTGAAGTTTATTTATTCCATGGACCAAGGCAGTGCTTGGGCCAACATTACAGAGTGATTATAAAACATGCCATTGTGTTAGTTGGGTCACTTTCTGGTCACATTGTGAACAACCGGATTTTAGCAACTCTGTTTGAGAACTGCAATGCCGGGACGCAAAATCCAGTCTCAAATGCACGAATTTAGCGAACGACAATCGAACAGTGTCAGAAAATCTAACTCAGGTGTCTATATTTCATAAATCATTCCATTGCCCAAGTTACCTATCACCGGTGCTACAAGCATACTTTCATGTTCAAGTTGACACGAAACAGATATTTCATCCACATAACAGGTGGGTAAGTACATATTCAAAACATGATATTCTAACAAGACATTTGAATTTTTCTACACATTTATTGATCTTGCTGTCATTTCTTGTAAAAGCCTACTGCTTTTACATAATACGTGATAAACATATCTGAGGACTGAAAACAGACAGAAAATTTTACATCTTTTTTCAACTAGCCAATAAATGCTTCTGTAACACATTTTACAAAACATAAAGGTCACTAAAATAATTTCTCTATCATGCAGTTGGGACTTGTGATAGAGATACAAATTATTTCACAACTACTTAAAAAAATTATGAAAGTGTACACAAATCAATGCAACAATTACATAGTTACCATCCATTAACAATATCACACAGTAATTAATATTTTTCTTAAAAAACAATTATTTTGATAACTTTAAGAGATAAATGATCAGCATTTAGTGATAATAATAACCTGCAATTATTCAAGACTACAATCAATATATTTTGTGTACAGATGTTAAATCGTCGCCACACCCTGCTGCCAAAATTGATTCCAGCGATCACTTCATATTTTTTTCTTTCAGGAACTTATTTCTATTCTACTGCTACACTATCCTTCAACAAACAGAAAACAAGATAACAATAAATGCCACGTTGAAAATGTTTTTCGCACATATCCTGTTGGGATCATCAAAATGCTATATACTACCACACAGTGAGTATGTCAACTTCTGATCATATGATATGATATGAAATACTGGTGCATGGGGCCAACAGAATCTTTAATACTGTCCAAAGGTGCGATCTCAGTTCAGTAAAAAGAAGGCTGATGCTGGTCCTACAAATCATTCCATTGTTATCTGTGTATGTAATATACCAAGCTCAGTAGTTCCAAGGAAATAAGTTTTGATATGGCAGTTCAAGTGACTGCTGTAACTGATTGTTGAGTTGCGGTGACTGATTGTTGAGTTGCGGTAATTGACTTTTGAATCGTTTATTGATTGTTAGATTTTGACGAATGATTAAAATGACCAAAACTAATTTAGTAGAATTAAGTTTAGATAGTTAAAGTAGGTTTTGGTTGTTAAATAGTGCCGATAGATTGTTGAATTGACTTCTGCATTTTTTGCGTGAATGGCGTTCCATACATATTTGGTATATTGAGAAATGATTAAGTACAGGGTGAAATGCTTCACTGTTTCTCTTATCCACAATTGGTCTCCATACCAGACAGCATGGGATAAAAAAAGGAAATTAGGAAATGTGAGCTATCTTTTGTTTTGGATAAAAATTGACTCTTGCTGTGCTGTAATTTCAGTGTAACAGAAATGATTTTTATTTTATTTTATTTTATTTATTTATTTATTTATTTATTTGGACTGGCAGAGAGAAAACAGATATGTGATACCAGAAAATATTTTTATCAATTTAGATTATTTTGAATTCAATTCAGGGTTGGAGGGGGGGGGGGAGTGCCTTGATAAAAGCGTTGTGTCTATACCAAATTCAGAGTTCTGTATTCATGGTCATACTGGCTTGTAATAATATTAATAATATTGTAATAATATTGATAAAATTATCAAATTTATGCAAGTCAAATCTTCAAATGCACTTGGCAAAATTTTGGTATTTTATTAATTGCAGGGGGAAGGAGACCGGCCTAAGCCATAAAATCTACTGGAACCTGAGTACGACAAATTGCAGGTACTGTATGCATTGGGCAAACAATTCTTGCAAACAAAGCGATGGGGACTAAACTATTAAGTTAAACTGTGTACCTGCACTGAATGGTAAACCAGTGTATATGTGAGTGCCACTGAAATAAGTGTCTAAATTTTTATATTTACCAAGCACTGAAGGTGAAAATATATAAACAACCTACTCCCTTGATGCAGTCGAGTGAATGTATTTTCTAAGGAGTTGAAAGGAGGGGGAAATTAACAATTTGCCTATAATTCCTGTTAGAAAGTTTTCAGTGACCTTCAGAGGTAATATATTAGTAATGACTAATCATCAAATTCTTATTCTCTGCGCTATGTGTATTAACGTTTTACGACATGAAGGGGGGGGGGGTCCATTACTAGTAATGTATAGAATCAGGACTTAACAAGGCTCTCACCTACAATTAAGTTAATAACAGGACGCAAGAGAAATAAAATTTGAAGACCAGCCTGGCAAACTTCAATTACAACTCTTCAATTACATTTCTATTTTTTCTCCCATGCTTCAGGGGCGGATTTAGGGCGTCTTCTGGGTCTTCCAGAAGACGGTCAGATTTTCAAGTTTACTTTGGCGGGTATTTTTTTTTCTGTCGGAAGACGGTCAAAAATGAAGAACGGATCAACAAAGATAATTTGGAAGACTGTCAGGAAATAACTCTGAATCCGCCCCTGTGCTTGTCCCAAAATAAGACCCTGCAGAGCAAACTGAGAAGCCCGTTGTTGCTCTAAGGGCCACTAGTACAGTAGTAGTAAGATCACCTAGTTCAAATATATAATGGGTGGGAATTTCATATGTCTTCAAGGCATGATCTGAGCTAAATACCTCATTCCCATTGAAACTATCAGTCTACGCAGATTGAAACCTCTGAATGAAAAAAGAGGGGGCATTAAACTGACTACATTCAGTAAGAGTCCCCGCAGAGTTGGATCAATCTACATAGATCAAGAGTTTCAATGGGAATGAGCCCTAAGCCAGAAAATTTCAGACAATTTTGATTTGTGTTCAGAATGTACTTTCTTGGTTAAATCTATTTAAAATGGCATAGGGTGATATTTCCACTTTATCTTGGAACAGATAAAATAATGGGCTATTTACAAACGTCACAAAACTTTGCCTACATGTGTGTTTGTGGGGGGAGGGGGGAGGGAGGAGGAATGCATATGTGTGTGTTCATTGATCTCTCTTACCTTGTAAAGTGTATCTTTTCCTTCGGCCTCCAACACTTCCAGTTCCTATTCTATCAGAATTACCATAACGTGTTAGGTGCATCATTTTCCTCGTGTCTTTATCAAAAACACCTGAAGTCAATGAAACAAAACAATTGCCATAACCTGACACAAGGTATTTTATGTCTCCTCCATCCCAGTGTACCACAAACTTTCATAATCCCATTCATAACAAGAAAGAAGGCAACAAAGACTATCAATTGTTCGTGATTTGGCCATACAAGGCCGCTTTTATTATATATCCTCAGTATCCTCATCATTTTAACAATAATAACAAAGTAGCAAATTGTTGCCTGTATTAAATGTTATAGCCTTAGGGATAAAAAATATATATATCAAATATTCAATAAGACTCATCATCCTAAAAATTATGATGTGACACGTCAGCAAAAGTTATTATTTACAAACAATTTTGCACAAATTTCGTTTGTGGGGTTGCAAAGAAGCCACCCCAACTATGTCGAATATTCGCTTGCACTGGTTATCCTAAGCAGTGATTCAGCATAAGCAATTATTTGACAACAGAATTACATCTAATTTAGATTGTCTGATTGCAAAGGCGAAGCCAATGCATTGCATATTGCAGGACTCACAATACATTCTAAATAAGTACCGGAATGACAATGCTGTTAGCGGGTGACCTAACCCCTACTCCCCCTTTTTTTTAAACCAAGGAAAGGGGGGAGATTCAGTTTTTCCCATATGCTGAAAACGGCTGGAAGAGTAAACTCTCTATAATTGCCATGCCATCCTATATTGCACCGTACTTGTTGATTAGTATAATAGTTAACAGTTTTAAGTGGTTCTATGTGGAAGAGCAATTTTGCTTCCAGTTTATAATTGTCAACGGTCAGAATAAAACATGAACGAAGAATATAGTGTCGTGGATAACCTAGATAGGTATGTTCTTATATGGCTGTTCCCATTATATTCCTGACTTCAACAGATGTACAGACGGACCCGCAAAGCTTGCTGGGCCATATTATGAGAAAAGCATGACTGGGTCTTAAAAATAGAATCAAACTTCTCATACAACATGAAAATAGCAGGTAGGCAAATCAGATTTTTTGCAACACTCCTGTAACAACACATTGGAATGAATAATAATCGTGGAAGCAAAAACCGAGAATGGGGCCCACTTGGCCCCTTTAACTGTGTATGTCACATATTTTTATACAGCTGTTCCAATGACCTCTGCAGTCAGTACAGATCAAGCATGTACCCCCAAGTCTTGCTGGGACACTGTTTTGTATAACCAGAAGCACAATGTAATCCTGCAAATGGACCCACGAAGTCTTCATGTGACATTGTCGGACATTCTTATAAAGTTGACCCAATATCCTCTGAACTTGGGAGAATATAAGGATGGACCATGGAGACTTGCTCTGCAGCAGATGATCGGTATTGTAAATAGTCCAACGCTACAGAAGAAAAATTAAAACTCTTTACACCTTATGTCTATAAATGTATGGTCAACCCACAAGGCTTGCTTGGCTTATGACTGGCCAGTATAAAGGTAGCCTTAAAAAGACATGTAAGGTCATGCAAAATGAATACCCTCATCCTATTGCACCATTTCCTCTGGACTAGGAAGATCGTGTGGATGCAGCAGGGCGTGGTGGGCCACAGATTCATGCAAGCAGAAGTTGTATAAGACAAGACTCCGGCCCTTCATTACTCTGGAAGAATACATCCAGATTTCGCTGGGGCATTTCCAGCAGACGACTGTGTACTGGCACTTTCATGGGGCAGTGGTGCTCCTGACAGGTATACAAAACTGAGAAATCAAAGTAAAAACGCACGCAGTATGATGGTCAAATATAATGCAAGCAAAGTTCCTTCAGCAGAGGAGACAATTGTGGTATGTAGGAGGAGACGGGGAAGGCGGTGGGTGAAATTGTTTGAACTGAAGATTTAAGTTGAAGGTTGGAGATAACTTGTAGCTTAATCGTAACGTGCGCGTCAACAGAATTAATCGAGCGCAAATGGAGTCAGGCAGTGACACCCCATGATATAAGTAGCAACATGTACCTCAATGGGGACTACCCCTCTAGAATTGAGCATGTGCGTAAAATAAGCTCTGGAGATTGTTGTCGCCATAAAATGTCGTTTGACTATGCCAAACTTTTCTTATATACAAAAAATAAACTTTTCCACCCATACACAACACCACTGGCACTTTCCCAGCGGGCAAATTATGTTGTTTTAATGTTGAAACAACGTTGAACCATAACGTTGATAATGCGTTGGACAAACATTGGATTTGAAAGTTGACTCAACGTCAGATAACAACATTGTATCAACCCCAGTTGTTAGACACCATTCTTGCATGAAAAGACATTAAAATGACCTGAAATGTTTTTATTTTGGTACAAAACACAGGTACACAATTTTAACATACACTGTAAAAACATCCAAGTGCCTGCTTTGTCTGATTTTTTCAAAGCATTTAGCTCCTAAGCATGTTTTGCACCTAAGCATGGTACACCCTTTTAGCCTGAATGTGTTTAGCAGTAGGACATGTTTGATGGCTAAATATATGTAGGGTATATATGTATGGCCTTTAAGTNAAGAGCAATTTTGCTTCCAGTTTATAATTGTCAACGGTCAGAATAAAACATGAACGAAGAATATAGTGTCGTGGATAACCTAGATAGGTATGTTCTAATATGGCTGTTCCCATTATATTCCTGACTTCAACAGATGTACAGACGGACCCGCAAAGCTTGCTGGGCCATATTATGAGAAAAGCATGACTGGGTCTTAAAAATAGAATCAAACTTCTCATACAACATGAAAATAGCAGGTAGGCAAATCAGATTTTTTGCAACACTCCTGTAACAACACATTGGAATGAATAATAATCGTGGAAGCAAAAACCGAGAATGGAAGGATGGACCATGGAGACTTGATCTGCAGCAGATGATTGGTATTGTAAATAGTCCAACGCTACAGAAGAAAAATTAAAACTCTTTACACCTTATGTCTGTAAATGTATGGTCAACCCAAAAGGCTTGCTTGGCTTATGACTATCCAGTATAGAGGTAGCCTTTAAAAGACATGTAAGGTCATGCAAAATGGATACCCTCATCCTATTGCACCATTTCCTCTGGACTAGGAAGATCGTGTGGATGCAGCAGGGCGTGGTGGGCCACAGATTCATGCAAGCAGAAGTTGTATAAGACAAGACTCCGGCCCTTCATTACTCTGGAAGAATACATCCAGATTTTGCTGGGGCATTTCCAGCAGACAACTGTGTACTGGCACTTTCATGGGGCAGTGGTGCTCCTGACAGGTATACAAAACTGAGAAATCAAAGTAAAAACGCACGCAGTATGATGGTCAAATATAATGCAAGCAAAGTTCCTTCAGCAGAGGAGACAATTGTGGTATGTAGGAGGAGGCGGGGAAGGCGGTGGGTGAAATTGTTTGAACTGAAGATTTGAGTTGAAGGTTGGAGATAACTTGTAGCTTAATCGTAACGTGCGCGTCAACAGAATTAATCGAGCGCAAATGGAGTCAGGCAGTGACGCCCCATGATATAAGTAGCAACATGTGCCTCAATGGGGACTACCCCTCTAGAATTGAGCATGTGCGTAAAATAAGCTCTGGAGATTGTTGTCGCCATAAAATGTCGTTTGACTATGCCAAACTTTTCTTATATACAAAAAATAAACTTTTCCACCCATACACAACACCACTGGCACTTTCCCAGCGGGCAAATTATGTTGTTTTAATGTTGAAACAACGTTGAACCATAACGTTGATAATGCGTTGGACAAACATTGGATTTGAAAGTTGACTCAACGTCAGATAACAACATTGTATCAACCCCAGTTGTTAGACACCATTCTTGCATGAAAAGACATTAAAATGACCTGAAATGTTTTTATTTTGGTACAAAACACAGGTACACAATTTTAACATACACTGTAAAAACATCCAAGTGCCTGCTTTGTCTGATTTTTTCAAAGCATTTAGCTCCTAAGCATGTTTTGCACCTAAGCATGGTACACCCTTTTAGCCTGAATGTGTTTAGCAGTAGGACATGTTTGATGGCTAAATATATGTAGGGTATATATGTATGGCCTTTAAGT